TTCAGATGCGAAACCCTGTCTATCGCAATCTCAACCCCTGAACTGTGGAAAGAAAAGGCCTGAAGAAGTCCCACGAAACCCTACAACACACTCTTAGACTCAAACCTTGCAGGCCCTGAAATCAAACCACTAAAGCCGGAAACGGAAGCCCTAGCCCAAACCCGCCAAAGACCTGAACCCCGAACCTACGAACCCTCGTTTGCAAATCTCTCTCAGAGCCTGCCCTTGCTTCTACAATCCAAAAACAAAAAAGAACCCTAGCCGTCGACCGCAAACCTACAGGCAACTAGAGTTGCACTTACAAAAAAAAGAAAACACTCCATGCTACCCTGCTTTGTCGTAGACCCCAACTAGAACTACACTGACAAAAAAAGCTGGAAGACACTCTAACCCTAAGGACCTAAGGACTCATATATTTAGGCTTTTGGGCCCAAAGGCCATACGTACTATATTTGGCTTTGGGGCTATTTCGATCCCCAGGGTCACACCCTGCTTTTCAAACCTCCTCTCGACTTAAGACTCCGAGATCTCCCTAAGCCCTGACTACCCAGAGGCTCCAGCATCCCTGAATTAAGGAGTAGACCTTAAGTTATAGTGCTCCTTTAAGGAATCTGTACGGTTCTATAAAGGGAACTTAAGGGAATATACTTTAAATTGTGGCAGGATGGATACCTATTATGATTTAGGGACTATTCCTTAACTAAGGGATATTGGAGCCTCTGACTACAACAACTTGTTTTGTCCAGTTGGAGAAACAAGGCTCCCAAATGTAACGGGACCCCCAACACAGGAAACCTTTTTTTGGCACACCTCTCGGGTTCAGGGTTTCCTTAACCTACTTGTCGGGTATCCTGGGGAACAAAAGGTTAACCTTTTTGGTTATATAGGCATTATATAGGGGCGAAAGTACCCAAAACCGGTTAAACGTTACCTACTCTACTACTAGGCCTCTGAACCTTCTGGAGCCCTGGAAGCCCTCGAGCTCTTTGCCTGCGGCGTGGTCGCCGGCGACGTGGGTGGCGCGGGCCAGGAGGAGCAACTGAAGGACTTCAAGGGTGCTAAAGACCCTTGAAGAGCATTTTAGGGGTTTAGGAGTTTAGGGTTTAGGGCATGATATAGATGTTTCGGGGCTAGTCGGAGTTTGTCGGAAATGTGTTGGAGGTTAAAGGTGCTCTTTGCGTTCATAACGCTCGACCAGGGTTCAAACCTGTTCTACAATCGGATGTTTCGATATACCTTCCTCCTGTTGCTGAGCTCCCAGATAATATGGGTATTTATCTAAATCAGGGTCCCTTTTACACCTCCAAAAACAGCATGGCACCCGTAAGATGCGGCGATCCCTTTGTTCCGCAAGGGGGCCCTTGCACAAAGAAAGGACCGTATCCACATGATTTAAGATGCGGCTATCCATATGTTTTAAGATGCGGCGATCTCTTTCGTTGGCATGGCGCCAAGTATAATCGAAGATCTGCCTTAAAACCAAAATACTCCAAATTTTCTCCCTTATGAAACAACCCCTTAAAACAGAAACCCAAAATAAAAAGACCACCTACCTATATAAGCCCTTATACTAGATTACGAGAATGCTGAATGCCTCTTAAACCCTTAACCCTAAACCCTAACCCCCTAAACCCTGACCTCCTAAACCCTTATAAGCCCTAAATCTCAAAGCCTCGATAATTAGAATAGGGTTTTGGGGCCCATTATACTGTCATTTTCACAAGGATCCCCCGCAAGACTATAGGCACTTATGAAGGCCCCTATATTGATTAGACCCTGAACTCTATAAGCCCTAATAGCTGAACCCTGAAACCTATGAATTTGATATGGCACTCCAAAGCCCGGTTTACGGTTTAGGATTTAAGGGTCTATGGTATAGGGTAGAGGGTTTAGGGGTATAGGCTTTAGGGTTTAGGGTATAGGGTTTAGGGGTATAGGGTATAGGCTTTAGGGTTTGCCAGCGCCTCGACGCAATAGGTTCACGGCCGGATGGGCGCACAGGACTGATGAAAGGGAATTTCGGTCTCGGAGCGCACTACGGAGCCGCCCGCGCCGTGAGAGCGGCTCCCACCCTAAGCCAGCTCCGCCTTTTAGGGTTTAGGTTCCTAAACTTTTTCTTTTTTCGGATCCAGTGCCACTGTGTGTTTGACAGCAATCGAGAGTGGGACAAAATACCGCGGCACGTCGGCACACGAGCATGGATGTGCATAACCTTGTGGGGTTATCATTCAGAAGGCCATGGATCCCGAACCTTGTGAGATTATCATTCATGGCCGCCATGGGCTTGGAAGCTTGTGATATTATCATTCAGAAGGCCATGGGCTCCGAACCTTGTGATATTATCATTTGGGAGGCCATGGGCTTGGTATATTGTGGGTCTATGATTGCGAAAGCCAGGGGGTCCGAATATTGTCCGTGCAACTTACAAAGGCTACAACATACAAACACAACAACTGCACGGAGTAATAACAATAACGAGTACTGGCGCCAAGCAGGCTGGACGGTCATCGCAAAGAAACAGAGAGCTGTCGCTGCTACTGTGAAGCGAAGTCGTGCTGGTGACTTTCAACTGTTTTAAAAGGATGGACGAAGGTTCGTGCCCAGGAGGTATACCCAGGGTCTGATGTTCTGTCTGGACCTACTCCTAGAGACTGTGTCGGAGACTGAGGTTTCGAACTTCGTGACAGTAAGCAACGCTAGACGCTAACCTTGAAGGCCCGGCCTAGTTCAGCCATGACGCTAAGATCGTTGATGGCATGCGGCCGAGGTCGGTGATGTAGCGACAATCCATATTACGAAATCCCGTCAAACGATCACTCTAAAAAGCTTGAAATGAAAAACTGCGGTGATTTGCGTTTCAGCAAAAGTCAAGACTGTCGGGCCCGGCCCCCTCCAAACGCACGAAGCCTTAAGCCTTTGCTTTCGAAAGCACTGCTTACTGACGTTGTCACACGGCTTCGTCTGGAGCAGTGCCTGCGTGGCAGCGCGGTACCAGCAGGACTTACGTAAGCCGCAGGCTGGGCCACCGGCGAAGCGATAAAACACAATGGGCGTGGCCGAGCCCTTGATGTTCAAGAGCTTCTCTTCGGTGTCGAGGCCTCCCAAATTCACGGGGCGGCAGTTGATGTGAAATCCGGTACCACCTTCTGGACCCCGGAGTCAGATGCCCAGGATGGCAACCTCGGTACTGCAGACCTGTGCATTCGAAAACGATGGAGCTACCAACCGAGCAAACTGCGTAGCCAGCCGCTTTACCGTGACTGTTTGGCGGCCTGAGAACTTCAGCGAGCTCGTACCCACCCACTAACTTCGTGCGAGACCGACGTCTGCGCATCCTGCTGCTTGAAGGGTGCCTCAGATGGTCGTGTCTCCCAGACAGTCTCTCTATATGTTCACGTTTGCAAGGCTCCCCCTATAGGAACAAGAGCCGTGTTTGAACCGCCGCTTTTGCTTCTGGCCACTCCGCCCCACACGTTTGCTGCAAGATCTACCGCCAGCGCAGCTTCCGGGCATGAGCATGATTATTCCAGAGTCTATCTTCACCTCTGACTTGCCCTACCTACATCCCGGTGCCTGCTACGGCGGCTCCTGTGTTGCTAATACTGCGATGGTGGGCCGAAAGCTTCACTTGCCCTCTGCGAGGTTCTTCAACACCTTGCGCGGCTCCTTGAGCGCCTGGATTTCCTCCGCCTCGATCACGTCGCCCTTCTCCTTCTGGAATTCGAGCAAAACCTCGGCCACCTTTTCGTTGAAGGTATTGTACTTCGCAAGTAGCTTGGCGGCCCTTTTCTTCTGCCCCTGGGCTGGCAGGACGCATTCCAAGAGGTCTTGAAGCTCCGCCCGCAAACATCTCTTGGCCTTCTTCCAGCTAGATGGCTTAGCTGGGGTGCCCTTCTCGGATTCAGAGAACAGCAGCTGCGCATCCGGAACGGGAGCGTTGACCGTGTCCTTCTTCAACCGCACGTTGTGTGCGCGATGGACCTCGGCAGTAATGAATGCCACCAGCACGTTGCCGGACTCCGGTTTTTTCAGCAAGGCATCCTTCTCCTCCACGCATTCAGTAGGGACGTCTTTGATTTTACTGGCATAGACTCCTGGTTGACCCAGAGCAGCCATGGCGTTGATCCAGGAATGTGTCACCCAACAACTGGATCCGAGGACTTGCAGCGCTGCATGGGTCGGCCACTCCGCACGGATCCGGTTAGCAAAGAGGAGGAGTTGTTTCACCGCGTGGCTGAGGCCGGAACTGGTTCGTTCTAGATCAGGAAAATCCTGTGCGTTCAGTAGCTCGCAGGCTTCCTTAGATTGAACTCTTCCGCGAGGCTTTTCCAGTGCGCCACAAAGTCTTTGTGGAACACCTGAGACTCCGGAACTGCGACGAAGACTAGAAACTCTCGAGAACCAAAATTCTTCTACAGTACGAAACCCTGTCCTTCCTTCAACGTGCCTAGGCGCTTTCTTTCGCCCGAGCTCCTCGACCACGTCGAGCCAGGACAGCACCGATCCAGCCAGCTCGGAAAATCCGATGCCAGGCCGGTTAATCAATTCCGTGTTATGCGCTTCGAGAGCTTCTCCGAGGCCTAGGCACGGAGCAGAAGGACACCCAGGATGCAATGTGGCAAGCTGGAGCCGTAAGTGCGCGATCAAGGTCGATTCAGTGCTTCGTCATGCTGCCATGATGACGACACAGCTGCACGGCAATGATACGGTAGCCGAAGAGCATCAAATTGCGTCTTACTTTCGTTTCATTTTTTAGGCAGTCTGCAGTGTAACACCATGATGCCAAAGGGCGGCGGGCTTGGCAACTTGGGCACGAAACGGCACGTGAACAGAATGGGTGTGAAAGCGTGCAAAAGGGACTGCAGGCAAATGCTAGCGATGTAAGACATGTGAAGGGCTGAAGATATGTCGCGCTGTTTGTTTTGGCTGTTGTTCGTAGCTTGTTCACAGCACGTTGCATGTTTCAACAAGACGAGTCTGTGCTCACTGTGCTTCCAGCATCACCACGCGGCACTGTGGATGGCATTGCAGACATTCGCGAACTCCTTCTTGTTCCATGGAGGCTTCGTCTCGCCCTCCAGGACGGGCACGAGGATGTAGAGCGGGTCATAGGCGAGCTTGGCCTTCAGGGCTAAACTCTGACCGTCCGCAGAGACCAGGATGTGTAAGATGTGGTCCGTTGCCTGCAGGTTCTCTCTGAACTCGTTTAGGTGTCTTCTTCCCAGTTTGGGTATCGCTTGCACCATGTGGCCGAAGCGGTCCAAGAGTCTGGCTGCAATGTGCCCTTGCGGCTTGCGCAGAAGCAAGTCTCGCAAGAGGAGACGGTTGGTGTCCCAAGCACAGGAGTCTGCAGCTCGCACATCTCGTACAACGGAAATGTGGGCGTGGGCAAGCCGGAATCTTCAAGTTTCGGTGGCGCTTTAGGGTTTAGGGTATAGGGTTTAGGGTTTTGGGTTTAGGGGTATAGGGTATAGGCTTTAGGGTATAGGATTTCGGGTTTGTGGGGTGACTCAAAGCCTCGACCAGTTGGTTGAGATCCACATCCGGCTCCCCTGCCGTCTTCCGCCGGCTCTCCGAGGCGCCCATCTGGCGTGAGATGTAAGGCTTGAAGGGCTATAGGGGTTTAGGGTTTAAGGTTTAGGGTTTAGGGCTTTAGGGGTTTAGGGTTTAGGGGTTTAGGGCTTTAGGGGTTTAGGGGTGTAGGGGTTTAGGGTTTAGGGGTTTAGGGTTTAGGGGTTTAGGGTTTAGGGGTTTAGGGTTCAGGGTTTAGGTTTTTAAGGGTTCAGGGGTTCAAGGGTTGAGGTTTTGGGGTGTAGGGTGAAAAAGGGCTCGTTTAAGGGAATCTATAATGGTTCGTTTAAGGGGTTTTCTCAAGCCTTCTCAAGGCTTCAGGTTTTATTAAAAGGTAGACCCTAAACCATAAAACCCAAAACCCTATAGATCCCTTTAGGAGTCCTTTGAAGGAGCCCCTTACCCTGACCCCGGGAGCATCTAGAAAGTAGATCCCTAATTTGGGGCCCTATACTACTAAAGTGAACCCCAGAAAGTTGGAACATGGATTTAGGATGATTGGTGCTGGAATTCCCTCTACTCTACCTTAAAGGCATGAGGTTTGTGATGTTCCAACTTTCTGGCTTCTACTGTAAGGGTACTTTATAGGAACCCCCATTAAGGGATCTACTTTTTGGATCCTCCCGGGGGTCTGGGTACAGATCCCTTGGGTTTCTTTTCTCAGCTTTACCAGTTCAGGCCTTGGGGTTTAGGGTTTCGGCTTGGCGGCCTGGGGTTTGTCCTCAGGGTTCTTGGTTCAAGCTTTAGGGTTTCGGGTTTGGGTTGGGTACTGCCCCCAGTCAGCAACAGTTGGATAATATTCATAGTATAGATATATTAGGACCTTAACAGTAGCCCTATTATAGACTGTTACTGTATGGGGGGCAGTACCCAAGGTTTAGGGTTTAGGGTGGGTTTAGGTTTCAGGAAGGTTGACTCTAGAGGGATCAAGGGTTAGGGTTTAGGGTTTGCGGGTTTAGAGCTTTTGGGTTGATTTGGGGATCCAAAAACCTACCGCTTTAGGGGTCAGACCCTCTAGCTCAGGGGTCATAACCTACTATTTTGTAGGTTCTTGGTTCAAGCTTTAGGGTTTAGGTTTCAGGAAGATTGAATCAACAAGGCTTTAGATGTCGTTCTGCATTTGTGGTTTGGGCTTAGGGTTTTGGGTTCAAGCTTTAGGGTTTACGTCCTGCTCCTCGTGTTGCCTAAAAGTGTCTTGCATGCTGTCGGGACATTGCCTTCTGCTCCGCTACCTGCGAACAGACAATCAGAAAGCACGAGGATAGTCAGGCTCACAGCAAAGGATTGGAGCGAATGCAGGCACCGGCCCTGCCGCAGCCGGAACCTCTGCCCGCCTTGCAGGACATCGACCATACCCGACACGATAGCTTCGGTGAGGCGAACGAGTGCAGCGGCGCTCCTGTGGACGATGTTGCAATGCCTGTCCACCGCATTCGGGACCCTAATATAGTACCCTAAATTGTAGGACCCTTATTATAAGGGGCCCCAAATAAGGTAATTACCCCTAATTTTCGGAAGCTCCCATGTTTTTGTTCGACAGAGGCCGGAGTTCGGATGTAGGGTTTTGGGACTTACTAAACCCAGCAACAGCCCGGACGAGCCCTAAAACCCCTAAACTAAGGCTTGACACCGGCAGCCTAAGGCATGTCCCCGGCATGAGGATGATCATGCCCATGATCATCCCCCCCCACCCCCCCCAGGCCCGATTGATCATCATTTCCAGGCCCGATTATAGGTATAGATCATAGATGATACTAATTTACTAATATAGTTATATTCAATACAGTAGTTTACTTCGTCTTGAACAGCCTCGCAGACTTCAGGCTCGAGGGTAGGGTCCGACTATACAACTCCTAATTAAACCTCAAACTTCCCACCGAATCCCCCTTTAAACTTTCAACAAAGCCTTGAACCCTCCTAACCCTAAAGCCCTAAAGTCGCTGGCGCTGGCCGTGGCCGCGGTCGCGTCGAGGCCGTGGTTTAGGTTTAGCTCAGGTTAGGGCTAGGGTTTAGCTCGGTGATTAATGTGCCTTGAAAGCAGGTGCATAAGTTCATGCTGGGGGAAGCAATGCTGGGGGAAGCAGAAAAAAGAGCATCTGCATGAGTTTCAGTCTCTCTCTTTCTCTCTCTTTGTCTCTCTCTTCTCCTCTCAAGTTTTTGATCTGCCAGGTGATCGCAAATCTTCGATGATGCACGCATTTGTCGGCGAAAACAAGGGCCGTGTGTCATGCAGGGATCATGCCGGGGACATGGTTTAGGCTGCCGGTGTCAAGCCCTAGGGTAGGATGTTTATGGGCATGATCATGCCCATGATCATGCCTCATGTAGCCTGTAATAGGTTAGGCAGGAATGTGTCAAGCCTTACCCTAAACCCTAAACCCTGAACCCCTAAACCTTATAATCGCTAAACCTAAACATCTCAAAACCCTAAACCCCTAAATCCTTCAAGCCCTAAACCCTAAACCCCTAAAAACTACATTTGACTCAATCGTTTGTAAAGTTCCTTAGCGCTGCGTCTGGCTCAGACTCTATAGCACCGAAAGTCCGAAAAAGTCCGAAAGTCCCCTCAAAACCCTCAACCCTCCAGCCTGGTAGGCTTGCATCGCCGAGTCCAACACCTCCTCAGCCAGGCCAGGCTCAATGCTGTGGTTTAAGCGAATATAAACATATAAATACATCAACACATATAGATATATAGATATATAGATATATGGGTGTATAGGTATATAGATATATAGACATATACACCCATACATATATATATATATATATATTTGTAAGCTATAGACATATACACACACATATATATATATACATGCAGATAGACCGAGCCTTAATGACTAGATGACTAGACTAGAATAGAGTTTGGGTGTGCATGCGGAGAGAAGTCGGAGGCGAGTACGGCTGATGATGCCGGGTGCAGTTTTCAAGCGTCTGGCTTTTCTTTGTATTATGCCATAGTTATAGTAAGGAACCCCCACAATAGTATAGGTAGTTATTAAGGCCCCTATATTATACCCGGGGAACCAGAAGCCTACTGCTTTCAGGGGTCATACTATACTTTATAACAAAAGCGATCATAACCTACTATCTTGTTGGGTGTCAGGTAATCCCTTAAATACAGTAGGGGTATGTGGCTTTCTGGGGTCGGGGCTTCAAGGCTGCCACATGGGGTTTCAGGGCTTGCAAGTTGTTTTGTTCCAGGGGTTGAGGGTCTTTTCAGGAGTTTATATGGTGGAAAGTGTTGAGGTTGTTCAAGATGTTGATGAGATTTGTAGAGATCGGTTAAGGCTTTTCGGGTTTAGGGTTGGGGCTGTAGGGTCTGCGGTAAGGATGCATGCGGTTTACAGTGGGCGTGATTCAGGGTTTAATGAAGTTTGAGGGAGGGTAGAGCGGGCTTAATGATTTTTGAGGCGTTCTCGGATTCCTCATTACTCGTCATGGTACCGCACTCAAAGGTTGCGGGGGACCGTAATCTTCCGTGATGGCCGGCCAGAGGGTGATGTTTCCGGAGGGGTGCGTCAGAAGGCGCTCCAGCTCGCCCCTCGCCCGCGAAATTGAACGCTGCGCCGAGAGGCCTGGGCCTCAGATGCTTCACTTAATTTGTCACTTTGAAACCACCAGACAACCAGAAAACCAATGTGTTGCAGGTCGAGGCCACAGAGTGGACCCAGCCCCTGCCATCGCCGCCCACATCGTAGATTTGGGCTTCTTTGGCCAGCTGACTTTGATTCAAAAGCAGGCAGCAAACTTCAAGTAATCACCCAGAACAAAACAGAAGTCTATATCAATATTCAATCGATTGAAGGGGGGTTTACATGAGACTTTAAAATTTTAAAAGAGCTCGACAAGGCTTCAAGGTTCTCTACCTACAGGAGAAAGGAACTTAGTCGTAGCTACAGTATGGGGCGATAACTGAGGTAACCATGCTACTCATTACCTATAACACCGATACAGGTACTTATACAGAAGGGACTGCCATGGGGCCTGGGTTTTTGCATACCCAGTGTTTTGCACTTTTTGCGCTACTTGTTGTTCGGTGCTTGTCGTTCGGGGTTGCTTTGCATGCTTCGGAAGGCCCTCTGGACCCCTGGAAGTCCTGCAAGCCGTAGTTATAAGCACAAGCCTTACACCTTACACCCTAAACCTTCAGCAAAACCAAAAAAACCAAAAAAAAAACAAAAAAAACAAACAAACCAAAAAAAACAAAAAAAACAAAAAAAACAAAGATTTCCGCACTAGTCGGAATCCTTCAGACTAGTGCGGAAATCTTTGGTTTTTTTGTTTTTTTTGGTTTGTTTGTTTTTTTTGGTTTTTTTGGTTTCCGCCACCGCTGACGTGCCCGGACAACCTTCCGCTGTGGCTGTTCTTTTGGGTGTAGGGTCTACGTAAACAAGACTACTCTCTAATCTATCTTATGTGATGCTTATAAGCAGTCCGGCTGCTTATGATTCCACGCAGGCTTTCTGCTTATAAGCAATCCGGCTGCTTAGAAGCAGGCTGTCTGCTTATAAGCAATCCGGCTGCTTATAAGCAGGCTGTCTGCTTACAAGCAGGCCGGTTGCGGCCTTCTGCTTATTGGCCCTGCTTCTGCTTATAAGCAATATCCTGTTGTTTACAGGCACTCGGGGGCCGTATGAGTAGCTATTCTAACCCCACCCACGCGTGCGCCAGACACCAACCAAGACGGAGAACACGAGAACCCACACCAATTGCACAAACATTACCGTAAATTTGATATCCTGACCTGTTGCATGTTTGATATGGAAGAACATGCCAAGCTTATCTAGCATACCACACGACCTGAATTTGTTATTATTTCCGGTTTCATGGTGTGTGCTAAGAATTCAATGGACCAAGCACCATGTAAACAATAGGGATATATCAAGGGGAATCGCGAGGATGGAAGGCATCCAGATGGGCCTCGACCGTAAGGAATCGTGGAGACTTATCTCTTGAACACGTGGTCATATACTGCCACACCATGTCATAGAATAGATACCAGGTGCTAGAAAGTCCCTTCTACACGTGGACTTTGCCTTTTTATACACACAAATATTGCAGACGCGCATGTAGATAAGTTATCTGACCATCTTCCATCTATCTATCTGCCTATCCATGTATCTATCCACCTATCTATTTGTCTACCCATCCATCTGTACATTCATATACATACTGGTCTCAGCATGGATGATGTCACCGACCTCTTAACCTGGCAACTTAGAGATATTGTAGAACCCTGATACAATCTATGACAGGATATGTTATGGCACCGCACAAGAGACAAAGCACACGTGTACAGTGTATATGTTTTCGCCGATTTGCAGAAATACCGTCTTGACACGGTCACATTAGCTGTGCATTGTTGTGGGGCCCATTATAGCAAGTCATTGCGGCTGTTTTGAGATATTGCAATAAACATTGAACTGAGTACTCACACGCCACAGCCTTCAACGAGTCAAGACATAGGGGAATCAGAACACGGAAAGTCGGTTCTGCCCCCGAGAGTACCGGCTGTTAAAGTTGTAGAATACGCTGGAACGATGTATGAAGTAATTACTCATGTTTAATACTTCATGTCATTTCGCTTACAAGCGCTGGCGTATCTGCCGTGCACTTCGTATTGAGGCAGTAGAGCGTACCATGGTAGTGCAAACACAGAAGCAGTGCATGCATAGGCTTGTGAGTGTATGTATCCCTGTATGACTTAACGAAGGCATGCCCGGGTTTCTGTGTGCATCGTTAGTTACAGCGCCATAAAACCAGATGTGTATAATATGTGTTCCCCTACTGGCAGCAATATATACAGTTTTGCGATAGTCATTGGGGTTGCGGGTTGGTCTGAGACGCCACAGAAGCAAGTCGTACTGACATGCTGAAATACTACAGTGCAGACTCAACTGCGTAGTACTCTCGCAAACAGACAGACCTTCAGCACCGAGTCAGGACATCAGGGGATCAGAACACGGCAAGTCGGCTCTGCACCTTAGATTACCGGGTGTTAACGTGGTAGGTTAACGTGTTAAAACAAGCTGGAATGATACATGAGGCAACTACTTAAATGATTCTTTCATTTCGCTTGGAAGCAGCTGAAGCAGCTTAGTGGATTGTGGTGGTAGAGCATTCCACGGTAGTGCAAATATACAGAAACACATGTACGGGCTTTTGAGTTTATGCTTGCGTGCATGTGTATCTGTAAGAACAAACATGCCTGCGCATTCACGTATATATACATGCACATACGTACTGCATAATGTTACACTTTTGTGAACATTAGCATGCGTAAATGCATGCGTGCATAGTACAATTCTATATGAGACCAAGAAACACAGTACTCAAAAAAACCAGGCCCCATGGCAGGCCGCTCTCTACTTATAACCTTGTTTACTAAGTCCCAGTAACCTCCAGTCCAAGAAGGGCAAGTAAAAAATCAAAAGTCTAGGACAGGACTTTAGGTGAAGGCATCTGGTCTTCCGCTCCCTCACCTCTCCGCGGAACGGGGTCGGGCGTTTCGTGATCGGAAGCTGTAGGGTTCAGGGTTTGCGACCACTTGAACCCTAAACCCTAAACCCCTAAACCCCTAAACCCTAAACCCTAACCCTAAACCCTAACCCTGAACCCTCACCCTAAACCCTAAACCCTCACCCTAAACCCTAAACCCTAAACCCCTCTAAGCACCCTTCAACCTTTGCGATGAAGTCTCTGCTACTAAGGTCAATTTGGGGTATCGGGCTTGACCCCAGAGCCGAAACCCTTCCTTGGGATCCAAAAACCTAGCGTTTTAAGGGTCAGACCCTCTAACTAAGGGGTTTGGAGTCACAGGAGAGCCTAAACCCTTATCCTACTTGCCGGGTATCATGGGGAACTAAAGGATAACCTTTTTGGTTATATAGGGTTTGTAAGGGACTATACTACCCAAAAAAGGCTAAAGGTTACCTACTCTACTACTAGGTTATAAACCCTCATCCCGAAACCCGAGCTCTTCTAAGCCCTGGAGTCATCCCTGATCCCAAAACTTCATCAGCCCTAACGCCGAAAGTCCAAACCCCAAAACCCCAACAGCCTGAACCTCAGGGTTTAGGGTTTAGGGTTTAGGGCCTGTTGAAAAAAACCCTGCTGCCACGGTTTAGGGTTTTGCTCGGTTGCAATGTACCACAAACTCCAATCAACATGATTGTTCAAGGCCTTGTACTATTAAGCCACTGGTTTCTAGAAACCCCTTAACGGAACGGTACTCTGCATAATGAGGTCCCCCAAACCCTAAACCCTACGGAACCCTCAAAAGAGCCCTAAGGGACCTTAGAAGCAACCCTTAGACTTACTACCCCAATAAGCCACAGAAATAAAAAGGTTAAACTTTCCGACTCCTACTAAACTGTAAGAAGCTAAAAAGTTAAAAGGTTGTGTATTGGGGATCTAAGTAGATCCCTTAAAAGAACCCCTATAGACCCCTTTAAACTTTAAAGGAACCCTATAGAAGCCCTGTAGAGCCTAAGGATCCTTTTACAGGTTGGGAGGAACCCTGAGCCCGTGGCCATGTAGCGCCGGTCGCGAGCTGCTGCCACGGCCGCCGACCGTAGCTGCTCGCGCTTCTCCCTCGGCGGTTTAGGGTTTAGGGGTTTAGGGTTTTAGGGGTTTAGGGTTTAGGGATTTAGGGTTTAGGGTTTTTAGGGTTTAGGGTTTTAGGGTTTAGGGTTTAGGGATTTAGGGTTACTTTCTTATGGCCTTCGGCTATGGCGTTTGCGGAGATTTGTGGGTGGCCTTTGCATGGCTCTCTGGGATTTTACGGTGTTTTGCAGGGTTTCCCAGGCCATTGTAGGTTATACAACTCTTCAGAGGGTTTAGGATTTTCTGGGTGGGTTGATAACCCATTTTGTAGGATCTTATGAAGCTTAGGGTCTTACGGGGTCGGGTTCAGGGTCTAGGGCGCTTTTTTTCAAGAGTTGAAACCATGGGCCCCTAGTATGGGCTCTTAACCTCGGGATCCCTAAATACCTACGATATAACCTATATATATATATATATATATATATGTATATATATATATATGTATATATATATATATATATAAAGACTCTTAAGGGTCCCTACCTGCGACCCCAAACCCTACAAAATAGTGGGTTATGGCCCCTTAATTAGAAGCTGGAACCCTTAAGACGGTAGGTTTTGGGATCCACAGGCAGAGCTCCCTCAAAAAGGCCTACTTGGAGGGGCAGGGGACTTAGTAACTAGGTTGTAAGTAGAGTTAGAAGTACCCTAAATGGAGTTACCCCAATAATAACCCTACTTATAAACGACTTACTAAGTCCATCTAAGTCCCCTGCCCAAGTAGACCCTAAACCCTAAACCCCATAGATCCCTTTAAGGAACCCTATAGATCCCTTTAAGGGGGCCCTTTAAGGAACCCTAAACCCCATAAGGCCTACGGGTCCATATTAGGGGCCCATACTTCTAACCTTACATGCTTGGCGCTTCGAGGCTCAGGGCTGAGGGTTAAGACTAAGAAAGCCCGCGTAGTGTGCACCTTCCGGTTTAGGGTCTAGGGTTTAGGGTTTTAGGGGTTTAGGGTTGAGGGTCTAGGGTTTAGGGTTGAGGGTCTAGGGTTTAGGGTTGAGGGTCTAGGGTTTAGAGTTGAGGGTTTAGGGTTGAGGGCTTCAGCTACCGAAACCTACGGCTTAATTCTTTCAAGGTCCCTTCAAAGAGTAGGTTATGTGAGTTCTAAGTATGCCTTATTCGGTCGCACTCGGGTTCGTGGTGTCATCCCCTAAATCGGATCCTACAACAAGAGGGTCTGTACATATACTACTATTGTTGAATTTCGTCCCCAAACCGTAATCAATATATGTATGTATATATATATATATACATACACATATACATTTATGTTTGGACCCTTCAGGAAACCTGAATAGCAGAGCCTAGAACAACCAAGCCCTGAACCCAAAGCCGCACACTCCAGAGGGAGCAAGGGCCAGGGTTCAGGGTTTAGGATTTGGGAGTTTCCGACAATTGGGGATTTCCCTAACTAGTAGGATCCTCATTATAAGGGCCCCAAATTAAGGTACCTAATTTTTCGTTAGAGTTTAGGGCTTAGGGTTTATAGAGTTTAGCGTTTAGGATTTCGAGTTTAGGGTTTGGGGCCTTTACGGATCAAGGGTTTAGGGCTTAGAGTTTACAGCAGGGTTGAATGTTTATATACCAGATTGTATGGCCCTTAAGAGGACCCTTTGCAGCCAGCTATTCAGGACCCTTCAAAAGATTCTTTACAGAACAACACTAATCCCCGAAACGATAAGCCCCTAAACTTTTTAAAGGAGCCCAAACCTTTGAAGGACCCTGAACATCAAACCCCTAAATTTTCAAATCCTGACAAACCCTAAACCCATAAACCCCAAAATCCCCAAAGCCTTGAAAGGGCCCCTTTTTCCAAGGGGACCCTTAATAAGGACCCCTATAGGGTAGGGGTCCCCATTAAGGGAAGGAACCCTAAAACCCTAACTTTAAACCCTAAACCCCTACCCTTTTGAAAAAAATCAGTTTAGGCCCTGGCTCGGCCCCTTTGATGGCATGCTCTTTGCCTAGGGCTTCGAACCCTTTCGAGGATCACTGAGGGGTCCTCTAGGAGTTCCTCTAAGGGTTCCTTAAGGGATCTATAGGATTTGGGGTGAAGTATACAAACAGCACCTACTTGGGGTCCGAGAGTCCATATAGAGTACCCGCCTTGGGATCGAGATCCTATAAATCTTACCTACCTTGGAGTCTAACGTCTACAGACACTACCTACTTTGGGGTCTAAGGTCTATAATTGCTTGGCTGACTTCTGAACCGCTCCTAAAAATTAAAACTTTAAGCCTCCGTGTTATAGTTCATATACAAAGCCCAAAAATTAGAGTTTAAGAGCCAACCAGAAAAAAACGCCAAAAATAGACCAACTTTGGATTATTTGGGGCCCCAGGGTTTGCCTTGAAGCAAGGCGGGGCGGGGGGTTCCCCCTTTTGGACCTTCGGGTTTGGGTTCAGGGTTGAGGGTTGAGGGTTTAGGTTTTAGGGTTCAGGGTCTAGCTTAGGGTTTCGGTGATTTGCCCCCAAGAACCCAAAAATTGGCAACGCCGGAAGCCCGGAGCCTCGATCCTTTGGCGCGAAATCCTTAACGTTTAAGATAGGGGCCTTAGCCATTAGAATAGGGGTTCCCTTTAAACTCATCTTCATGCAGGTAATCTCCGTGCCCCTTCCGCGGCTGAATAAGCATTCGCCACAGCGGTAGGAGATGTGGTGGAATGGAGGTGTCCCATGGCAGAGCAGGGCTTCTGTTGCCGACTTTGGTCACTCAGACAAAGTGTCTCGAAGACCGAGTAGTCCCCAAAGTATGCAATTTTGTACAAGAGGTTCCTGGGGTGGTAGAAGGCTGTAGGAAGCTGCGGAATGCCTCCGGAGAGTTCACCCCGGGGTCGCATATATGGAGGCAAGGTGGCTGGCACAATCCTGCCTTCGTGAATAGCAGTGATGAACGAGACCAACCAACGTCGGTAGAGGACTGAGTGGTACGTATGTTACCCGTGGTCGGGTCCATTTATCGGGTAAAGAAGGTGCGTTTGCGCGCGGGGGCTTTCCCGAATTCAGAAGCGTCAGCAACTTTGTGAGCATCAGCCGGAAGGCCCAAAGGGCTGCTTACTATGACATAGGGGCCTTAATGATTAGAATAGGGTTTTGGGACCCCTTATACTACGATCACAATAAAGAACCCCCCAAAACACTGAGGTAACTATTCAGGCCCCTATAGTAGAGCTGAAGTGGAGATGAGGTGCTAAGACTTGTCTTAACCTACCAGAACCATTCTTTGGTAGAGCCCGAAAGTTTGTACCTTAAACCGAGCTTTAGGGTTTAGGCTTACAGTCTAAGACTTCAAGGCGTTTATGGCTCCAGGCTTCACGGTTCGTTTCTAGGTTCGCTTCTAGTCTAAAGGCTTTGAGATTTAGGGTTTAGGGTTTAGTTCAGATGTAGGAGGTAATTTGCATTGAGAGCTTCAGAAATTACGGTTTAAGCTTTAGAGTCTAGGATTTACTCCTTCTAATCTAGGACTTGAGACTTTGGCGACAACACCAATCAACAACCGCATTTAAACCCTATTTCGGTTACAACACCACTCGAAAATGTTATATACAACAACACAGAAACCCTTCTTTGTGAAATCAACATCAGCCAAACTATAAGCCCTAAACCCATACTTGGAGGGTCGGGGGACTTAGCAAGTAGTTATTTTATAGACTTGTAAGCACCGTAACCCCAATTTGGAACCCACTTAGGACACTTGCAACTCTACTTACTACCTACTTACTAAGTCCCCTGACCCTCCAAGTAAGGACCAATGGGCTCTAAGACCCTCCAACGCCACCCTAAACCCTAAATACCATCCTCCAGCGCTCTTGGAACCATACTAAAAAGACGGTTTCGGGGTTTGGGGGTCCTAGGGTTTCGGGTTTAAGGGTTGACGGCAGAGGGGTTTAGGGTTTCGGGTTGAAAGGTTTTGGGGGTTGAGAGGTTTAGGGTTGCGGGCTTGGGGTTTACGAGTTTCGCTAGTCTAACTCCTGACAGCACCTCCTCGATCGCCTTGAAGATACCCACAATTAGGCCCCAAAGTAGTTCCTTTTTGGGGGGCCATATATGGAATTCTATAAGGTTATCCCAAAAAGGAACTACTTTGGAGCCTCTGGGTAGGCTTTTGCATAGGCATGCACCCGAAGACCTCGGCCCCTACCCAGAATGCAGTACCCTAAGGCTCCAGATTACCTTATAGGATTCTTACTATGAACCCCAAAAAGGACCTGTGACCCCAAACCTTACAAAACAGTAGGTTATGACCCCCTAATTAGAGAGTCGAACCCTGGAAACAATAGGTTTTTGGATCCTCAGGGAACTACTATGGAGCCTTAGGGTAATTACCTTCATTCGGCTACCTTGCTTCTTTTTGAAACGATCCTGACCATAGAAGAACTTGTGTCCCAAAAAAGTACTACATCAGAGGGTCTAGGGACTGCCAGAATTTCAAACCCGTGACCCTTGAACCCTCAATCCTGAACTTTCATAGGGATCCTTAGGGGTGTAGGGGGAGGGGGGGGAGGGGGCCTTAAGGCCCATAATAAGGACTAATAAGGCCGATTTAAGGAACTATAGTCCCCTACACCCCTCCCCCCTACACCCCTAAGGATCCCTATGAAACTTGATTCCCCTCCAGCCTCAAGCCCGAAAGCACTCGGACCCCAACAACCCTGTAAGCTTCTGCCTTGCCTGCCAGGACAATCTCTCGCTTGTGTGGTGGTGTCTCCTGGACACATGCACTTGCGGAGCTGCAAACCCGGGAACATAAACAGGGCTTGAGGGTTTATAGGGTTTCCAAGGGTTTGAACAGCGCAGGGCTTTGTAGGGCATTTGAGGGTTTTCAAGACGTTAGGGTTTGGGGTTTATGGAATTTGGAAAGGCATTACCAGGCATTGCATGCCTTTGCAAGAGCTTGACAGAGATCTTAGGAAGAGGTTCATTGCGGAGGTCTTAACAGTAGGCCAGTAGGGGCACCTTTTTTGGAGGGTTCTGGTATTGAGGATCCCTACCTAAGCATCCATGGCAGCAACAAGCTACAGCTTCGAACCCTAAAACCAGAACACTTTGAACCCAGCTTCGTGGCCTAAACCCCTAAACTCTAAACCCGAAACGCTTAAACTCCAGAGCACGTGGTCGTGCAGCGTCGCCCGAGCACACAGGCTGCAAGGTGCCCAGCTGCAGTAACATGGAAGCTTTCTTGCAGAGCGCATGCCTGTTCTCTGTTTAAGATGAGCGGAACTGGACTTTGAAGTAACCGGTGCGAAAAAAGTATAGACTTTGATTTCCTAATGGTTCCTTTAAGGAACAGGTACCAAAAAAAAGTAGCCAAGTATGGTACTCCAACCCCAGAGGAACAAGTTCGGAGGAGGCGGCATTCATTCAACCCTAAACCCTAAAATAAACCTTAAACCCCTTTAAAACCCTAAACCCCTAAAACCCTAAACCCTAAGCCCCTAAAACCCTAAACACTAAAACCCTAAACACTAAACTCTAAACCCTTAAACCCTAAACACTATAAACCCTAATCCCATTCATTCAGTGCAGGATGCGACCGGCATGATCCGAACTTGGAGCTGCTCGAACCCAGACCCCCGGGAAGGATCGGTTCCCTTTAAAGGGATCTATAAGGGTTCCTTTATAAGGATGTCTAGGTTTTTGGGGGTTTAGGGTTTAAGGGTTTAGGGTTTAGGGCCCGGAGGATCTAGAAAGTAGATCCCCTAATTTGGGGCCCTGTACTACTAAGGGTACTTTATAGGAACCCCCATTAAGGGATCTACTTTCTGGATCCCCCCGGGGGTCTGGGAACAAGTGTACGAGTGTACCACCGGTCGCAGTCCTAAAAGCAGCTGCAGGAGCTCTTTCGGAACACTCTGTTCCACAGGGACGACCCTACGTAAACAGAACTCGTAACAACCCTAATAAGCCCTTGTAAAACCCGGGTTAGGACCTGTATTGAACCGCACGGAACCCCAACAAATACGCCAAAAAGCCCTACCAACAAAGCTAAGCGCTCAGATGATTTCCACCCCCGAATCCCTAAACCCTAATTCATCCCTACCTTAAACTACCATTACCTACTGTCTCGAAGGCTCTGAATATAGACTCCAATATGGAATCCATAGGGAGCCTATAAAAAAAACTATAGGTGTCTAAACCCTAAACCCTAAACCCTAAACCCTAAACCCTAAACCCTAAACCCTAAACCCTAAACCCTAAACCCTAAACCCTAAACCCTAAACCGTGGTTGGTAGGTTCAGGTACCGCTGAGCCCGAAACCCGTGGTCCCGTTCATCCCTAAACCCTTCTTAACGGTTTTTGGGGACTTTAGGGCTACTTTAGGGGTGGTATAGAGTTCTAGGATAGGTTCCCTTTCAGCGGTTCTTTCAGGGTTTTAGGGTTTAGGGTCTACTTTCAGGTTCATGGGACTTGCCGAAACCGGGGTTATAAATGAGGTAACTAAACTTAACAATTAAGGTAGAAATTATTGCTTACCAAGTCCTAGGAACCTCCGAGTAAATGCTTAATAAACCCTAAACCCTAAACCTGTAGAGTTGCAACAGGCATTCTGCCTTGGGCTCAGTAGGGACGATCGCCAGCGAAGACTTGACCTCTTGAGCTGCAGGGGTGGTTGTCAAAATTAGGGTCCCTTTTTTGGGTACCCTAAATAATAGGTGCCGTATCATAATAGGGACCCAAAAAGGCACCCTAATTTAGAACCCGTAGGGCTTTACGGGCTTCGATTCTTTACGAGGGTGTATGACGACGACATTTTATACGGGGTTTTTGGAGCTCGTCGAGCTTTAGGGTCTTAGGGTGTTTTACAGGCTTGGGGATTCGGTCTTCTGTAGGGGATTGAAGGCCGGGGTTTCAAACTTATGTGAGGAGGGTGTTCTCACGGTTGTCATGCGATCTTTCAGGTTTGTAAATGCAGTTAAGGGGTACAGATTTTTTGGGGGGTAGAGATTTAAAGTTAATAGTTTAGGGATTAGTGTTATTCCGGCTCAGAGTTTCGGGCTTGGGGTGAAATAATTAAACGGAAACTCGATACGTATGCTCAATCCCTAAGACTAGTATATACTACCTAGCTAGAATGAATAACCGTTCTGGTTAAGTTTTTAGGGTTGGCTGTATTTAGGGCCAATGTGCATGCTCTCTTGGTGTTTGCCGTGTCTCGGCCTAAGTTTTGGGATTAGGGGGATATGGAAAGCATACAGGCACGGGTTTTGGGAGTACGGGCTTCGGCTTTAGGCTTTGAAGAGGTTCAGCGCTGAGGGTGTGGGATTTGAGGGTTTAGTGGGCTTTGAAGTTTCCAGGGTGAAAAAGTATAGGCGTTTATTTCATAATGGTTCCCTTTAAATATCAGGTCCCTAAAAAAGTATGCAAGTATGCCACTCCAAAGCCCAGGATAAGAAGAAGCTTTCGGACCTTTGGTGACATCTTGGGGATGCGATGCGACTGTTCAGGACTTGGACACCTGGGTCACCCGGGACGACTACGGATCCCAATTCCCTAAACGGCCTGAGCCCTAAACCCTAAACCAGAACCCTGAGTCCTAAACTGTCGACCTCCAATTTAAAACCCTAAGCAAAGGACCTCTGACTCCAATCTCAAACATAAGGCGAACATCGCAAGCTCTCTGTTTAGGGTTTAGGGTTTAGGGTATAGGGCTTCCCCAATGGCACCCTCCTACAAAATACTCATATGTTCGACAATGCTGCTTGGTTGCAACACCTCGAAACATGCAAAGCAAGGTTGGGTATCGTAGCATTACCTTCTAAACAGTCTCAGACTCTGTTAACCCCTGCCTACAACACCTTCACGAAATCCCATGAGTCATAAGCTTCTGAAACCCAACACAGTCTTGGGACACCTTTTACACCGTATGCCAAACCTACACAAACCAATTGAGTGGCTGTCAAAACTAGGGTCCTGCTTTGGGTCCTTATTGTAATACGGCACCTAATATTCAGGGAAACTACCCAAAGAAGGACCACAATTTTGACAACCACCTAATTCAAAATCATGTCTGCAAACCAGCAAAGCCGCTTAAACGCTTTTCAAACCCGCTCCAAGCCACCCTGCAGAACTCGAAAACCCTACGGAACACTTGCGAAGCCCCAAAAACCTACACCCTAAACCGATTTCAAAGAACAGAAACGGACGTCTTCAGGACGGTCCCCTAAAGCCTAAACCCCAAACGCCGAAATTCTAAACCCCCAGATGCTGAACCCTGGGACAGTCCCCGGACCTGTTGTGCCACTTGGTCCGCGCGACGGTGGCAATGAAGCCGGTGCGAAGCCCAGTCCTCTTTGGTGTTTTAAAGGGTTCCTGTAAGGGTCCTTGTCAAGGGCTCTATAAGGCTTCCTTTATGGAGTCCTATCAGGGTTACGATAGGGTTTAGGGGTTATTACGGATCGGGGTCCAGGGTGTAGGGGTTCGGGTTTCGGGTCCAGGTTTTACCTAGGGATCTAAGGACTCATATGTTAAGGCTTTTGGGCCCAAAGACTATATTATATAAGGCTTTTGGGCTATTTCGATCCCCAGGGTTAGGAGTTTAGGGCTTTCGGCAGAAGGCTTCGGCAGTTTAGGTTGAAAAGGCGTCTGAGTTTAAGCTTCGTTGCTTTAGACTTCTTGTTTCGAATTTCTTGTCATAGAGTTTTGCCATTTGTCTAAATCTAGGGGGTTCAGGGTTAAGGGTTCAGGGTTGAGGGGTACCGTTCAGGGCTAAGTTCAAAAAACTCTGCACCGGTTTAGGGTTTAGGGTTTAGGGTTTAGCAATTACTCCAAGATTGCCTCAGTAGGGTTATAGGCAGCAGAAGGTAGCGACAAAAAAACACCGGATAACTACACGCCTTCGGTATGTTCATGTGACTCATGTGTAGCCACACTTGCAAGTACACATGAGCCGCTATGTAATTTGATCAAACCATATCTGTGCCTCTGCAATCTATAGAACCTAGAGCAGCAGTTAAGGAATAGAGATACAATTCTGAGCAAGGCCCCCTCCAAAAAATCCGGGCACATTACCCTAAACCCTAGATCCTACACCCTAAGCGCTGAACCCTAAACCCTATACCCTACATATATCCTAAGCCCTACACCTTACAAAAGGACCCTATACCCTACATATATCCTAAGCCCTACAACTTAAAAAAAGGGCTCTAGCAGTCGCTAGGGAACCCTTACGGAAGGCACTGCAGAAGTTTGCAGCTGCAGGTCCTTTGAAGGAACCATACGTATACGTAGATCCTATAAGATAGTTTAGACCCCTTAAAGGAATCCTGGGTAGATCCCTGAATATAGGGGCCTTCATAATTTGATTCGGGGCCCATTGGACCATAATTATATAATAAGGAACCACCAAAATAGTATTGGTAATTACTTAAGCCCCTATCCTAGTCCTAAACCCTATAGATCCCTTATAGATCCCTTAAAGGAGCCTTGAGGATCCCTTTAATATTAAAGGTACAGCAACAGCACTGCCCGAAACATTTGTTCCTAAAAAATCTGCGCTTCAAAGATAGGAAATCGAGCCCCCCCCTCACAAAAAAATAACTGTTTCTGAACCCGGGCTGTCGCTGTAGTATAGTGGCCCCCCCCTTTAGTACACATTCCGCCCCAGGACATTGACCAAGAGTGGGAGCTGCAGTTCAGCGACTCAATTCAACAAGCCGCCTGCCGCGCTCTGTGACGGTTAAAGAATTTCCGGTAGGGTTCCTTTAAAGGGATCTATAGTAGGGCTCTATACTTTAGGGGCTTCAGTGATCTATAGGGTTTAGGGTTTAGGGTTTTCGGGTTCAGGGTTCAAGGGGTTTTAGGGGTTTGGGGTTTCGGGTTTGCAGGAGTGACATGATGTTCATATCTTGGACACTGCCTCATACCTCCAACGCCAGCGGGCCTTCTCGTTGAGAAACGCGGCTCCGCCTTCACCCGGCCTTCCTCAACGCGCGAGGATCACGACTCTCTCTGCCACCGTCCATGCGGCCTGCATGAACTCAGGTGGCAGATCCCTTAGAAGCTGCCCCCACCCTGTAATAGTGACTATAAGGATTATATTAGGGCCCTATTATATTCCTATTATACCCCTATTATATTAGGGCCCTATTGTATTCCTATTGTACCCCTGTTACATTGGGGCCCCATCATATTCCTACTATACCCCTATTATTACAGGGTGGGGGCAGCTTCTAACAGATCCCGGTCGAGGACGTCGGCCCCGTCGAGGAAGCCGTACCCGGAGTCAGGCTTCAGGATGGTTCTTCGGTTGATGATATAAATCCTGGGATTCCTTTAAAGGGATCTGTAAGGGTACCTTTAAGGGACCTATAGGGTTTTGGGGTTTTAGGGTTTAGGGATATAAATCCTGCATTACCCCAAATAAGGAATATACCATAATTCCCATAGCTTAGGGTCCCTAAGTAATGCAGGATTTATATCATCAACCGTTGCGCTGTTGTTCGAGAACTGCAGCTCTGTCAGGATTGCACATGAGTAGCGCGATCTTCCCCAGAATGTGAACCCCGAACCTTACACCCCAACCGTGAGCAGTGAACTGTAATCTAAGTCGGCTCAACAACATACTGACTATAGGGGCCTCAATAATCAGAATCGGGTTTTGGGGCCCATTATAGAAGAATTATCATAAGGGACCCCAAAAATAGTAGCGATGATTTTTAAGGCCCCTATATTAAACTCCCAACCCTAGTCGCGAGTCGGGATCCGAAGCCCGAAACCTTGTGACTGATATCGGGGTCTTGGGGGTTCCCTTTGAAGGGATCTATGAGGGTTCCTTTAAAGGGAACTTTAGGTTTAGGGTTTAGGGGTTTAGGGTTTAGGGTCTAGGGACCTCAGTAAACCCCATAAAGTTGGAAACCGGACTTAAGGCCAAATAGTGCTGGGATTCCGTGTACATTACTCTTAAGGACTGAGGCTATTGAGTTTCCAACTTTTGGGCTTTTACTGTCCTTTCACCGACGGAACCAAAGCACTAGACCCTAAACCCCTAAAGCCCTCAACCCCTAAACTCCTAAACCCTAAATCCCTAAACTAACACCAAGATTTGCTCGGAACAGCGAAGGAAACCCCCGACCCAGAGACTCCATTATCCCTTAATTCGGGAATGTACCTTAAATTACAGTAGGATCCGTAGTATGAGTTAAGGAGAATAATCCGTAATTAAGCGATGTTGGAGTCTCTGGGAACCCCTCAAAGGAACCCTAGGTACTCTGCTATTATGGGATATTGAACTATACTGAACTTAGAACCCTAGCAAAAAATATAAATTTAGCTGTTTCTTAGGGATTATGATAACCAAAAATAAAAAATTATCTAAGTACCCCTAAGGAGTCTCTTGGCACTTGCCACCACGAGCCTTCTGCTGGCAATTCACGGAGCAGTAGAAGACTTCCTGAGCTTCGGGTTTGTGCCTTACTTGGAAGATCATGGGACTTAGTAAGTAAAGCTATAAGTACCTTAATTGGGGTTATAAGTATCTATAATTATGGTTGCCTGATTTATAACCCTAGTTACTAAGTCCTATGATCCTTTAAGTAGGGTTTACCTGGGGATCCCAAAACCTACCGTTTTAAGGGCCAGACCCTCTAATTAAGGGGTCAGAAGCTACTATTTTGTAGGGCTTGGGGATACAGGTAAGGTTCAGGGTTTTAGGATTCTAGGGTTTATAGCTTTAGGGCTTTAGGGTTTAGGGTTTTAGAGTTTCAGGGCTTAGGATTTAGGGTTTTAGGGTTTAGAGTTTAGGGCTTTAGGGTTTTTAGAGCTTTGGGGTTCTCAGAGCTTTAGGGTCGTTAGAGCAGGGTCTGGGCCTTAGGGTTTCGGGCTGAACGAGTGCATGACATGAAGCCGATACAATTTCAAGCGTGTTTTTTTTGCGTTCTTTTTACAGGAATCGGAATTGCTGCTCAAACTACGAAGTTGTATATGGCTTTCCTGTGACCCCAAACCCTACAAAATAGTGGGTTATGACCCTTTTTTTGGAGGGTCTGACCCTTAAAACGGTAATTAGGTTTTTGGATCCCAAGGATGGCTTTGAAGCTCATGGGAGTCTACTGGCTGCTGGGTCCGGCAAAGATCTGTTCAAGAATCCCCGCGAGTAGTCGCGGAGCTCCCTGGCAAAAAAGGAACCCTTTAAAACCCAAACCCCGAAAACCCTAAACCCCTAAAACCTGCAAACCTTAACATGCTTCTTTCGAGTAGCTTTAGTTAAGAGGATGGTGCCTGTATCCCCAAACCCCACAAAATAGTAGTAGGTTATGACCCCTCAATTAGAGGGTCTGACCCTTAAAACGGTAGGTTTTTGGATCCCCAGGTGGATCTTGAGGCTCAGGGTGGCGTTGTACCCGACTCTCCCTGCTGATTAGGTAGCTGGAGGTTTTAGGGCGCGGGTTTTGGAGTGTTTCCAGCTTCATAATAAGCAGTATACCTGTGACTCCAAACCCTACAAAATAGTAGGTTTAGACCCCTTAATTAGAGGGTCTGACCCTTAAAACGGTAGGTTTTTGGATCCCCAGGTAGGGTCTTAAGCAGTTTTTGAGCTTAGTATTGTATGCGGAGCGCGTATGATTATTAGGTACTTCAACCCTTCAGGCCACGTATATCTGATGAGAGCTCCTGTAACCATACAAACCCCGCGCTTAAGCACCGAACCCTAAACCCCTATAAACCTGAAGCCCCATGCCCACTAGCTATGCCCTTAAATGCTAAACGCACCAAAAATAGCTATGCCCTTAAATACTAAGCGCACCAAAAACCCCGAAACACGTACTTGCACACTTAAGCCCTACGCCCCGTACCAATATTTAGACCCCCCAAACCTAAACCTTAATAGAGCCGTTATAGAACCTATAATCCCTTTAGAGAAGCATTGGTTGTCTTATGGAACCCTAAACCGCCCCCAAACCCACTAAACCCTAAACCCTAAACCCCTAAACCCAAACCGCCCCTAAGCCCTAAACCCTAAACTTAATCCTAAACCCTAAACCCTAAGCGCTATAAGCCCTAAACCCTAAACCCTAAAGCCCTAAACCCTAAACCCCAAACCCCCAACCGCCGCCGGAATGAGGCCGCCACTTCGCAGCCGGAGCAGCAAAGGACTGTCGGGCCGCCGCAAACAGCGCAAGGCCTTGAATTTCAAAGGTTCAGTTGAAGGGTTCCTCTGGTGTGCCATATAGGGTTCCTTTCAAGGGATCTAGAAGGGGCCCTGTAAAGGGATCTACAAGGTTTAGGGATCTAAGGTTTCGTATCTTGAGGCTTTCGGGCCCAAACACCATACTAAAGAAGGCTTTTGGGCTGTTTTGATGCCTAGGGCAAGGGTTCCTTTAAAGGGTTCTGTATAGCGTTATTTAAGGGGTCCCCTACGGGTTACTGTAAGGCCTGGAAACTTATAGGCTTAGAGTCTAGGGCTTCGGGGCTTCAGGGTTTAGGGTTCAGGTTTGGTTATTTGGCCCCTTTAAGGGCTTAGCTAAGAATGTCCTTTAAGCTTTCTGTGAGGCCTTTACCCTAACGCTCGAAATAGCCCAGAAGCCTCATATAGTATGGTCTTTGGGCCCAAAAGCCTTAACATATGAGTCCTTAGAGGTTAAGAGGGTCCATATACACTACTATTGTGGAATTAGGTCCCCAAAACCATTATGGGATGGTTGTTAAGGGCTTAATTCCATAACAGTAGTATATATGGACACCTGGTATGGGTTGCAGGCCCTACCTACACTCAAACCCGAAACGTTCGGGGCTCGGCCTGGCCAGGCCTTTGGGTAATACGGTGTCAAAAGGATTGTTGCTGGATAGACAGCATTAACTGTTTAATTCAAAAGGGTATACATGTGGAGATATGTGAATACGTAGGTATGTATGTATGTATGTGTATGTATGCATGTATGCATTGGCAGGTATGCATTGGCAGGTATGCATTGGCATGTATGTATGTAGGTATGTAGGTATGTAGGTATGTAGGTATGTAGGTATGTATGTAGGTATGCATGTATGTATGTATGTATGTATGTATGTATGTATGTATGTATGTATGATTGTATGTATGTGTGTGTATATGTGTGTGTATGTGTCTATGTGTGTGCATGTATGTATATGTATGTATATATGTGTGTATATGCACGTATATGTATGTATATGTATGTATGTGTATGTTTATGTGTGTATATGCATGTATATGTGTGTATATGTATGTATATGTATGTATGTGTGTGTGTGCATGTATGCATGTATGCATGTATGTATGTGTGTATGTATGTATGTATGTATGTATGCACATGTATGTGTATGTGTGTGTATGTCAATGTCTATGTACTTCGACGTCTATGTCTATGTATGTGTGTGTGTGTGTGTGCGTGTATGTATTTTTGTATGTATGTGTATGAAGACGTTTATCCGTTTATCCATTTGTTCATATGTATTGCTTGCTTGATCGCTTGTCCGGGTACTTGCTTGCTCGGCTAGTTGCTTGGTTGCTGGGTTGCTTGGTGGCTCGGTTGCTTGCTTGATTGGTCGCTTGGTCGCGTGGTTCTTTATCATCAGACCCTAAACCCTAAACCTTAAACCCTAAACCTTAAACCCTAAACCTTAAACCCTAAACCTTAAAAGTTTGTGGTCGTCAAAGAGATAGGCCGCTGGCGGCACCAAGTCAGATAGCACCATGGCCTTGCCCATGGCAGGCTCGAGGTGGCCCCTCGACAGCCCAATCAACTGACAAACCCCCAGGCCTTAAACAAAAGAACAGATGGAAGCCCTACAAGCCCTATGTCGAAACTGTATCCGAAACCCTGAACCTTAAATCCTACAGCAGAAGTGTAAGGTAACCCCTTAAAGGAGCCCTTAGAGGAATCCTTAAAGGCGCCCTTTAAGGAAGTGGCCGCAGGGTAGCCCCTTCGGTACACCGAAAGTTTTCCAGGGAGATGATGAAGCGGTCCGCCGCCGTGTCGAAGATAACCTCCCAGTGGCCACAGTTGTGCTCGAGGATTGGTGTTCCCGAACCTGTGCTTGGGGTTTAGTTGTTAGGGCCATGGCGGGAACATCTTCTTGGGCCATCCGCGCCTGTTCCTGACTTTCCAAAATGCCCCGCCACCGCTCTTCCGTCTCGGCGGTCGTGGAAAGCACATGTTGATCATGTGAGCAAGCAGAGTAAGTTCCTGACCTCCTCAGGGATTGACTTGCCGAAGCGTGCCCATTCGCATGGTGCCCTGAGACGTGGACCTCCTGCATAAGCTCGGGGTTCTTCGGTGTCGAACCGCTTTGACAGGATTCGGACGATGGGCTTGCCCGGCTGGCCTCAGCTCTGCCTGTGCCGAGAGCTAAAGTCTGAAAAAGACAAGTTCAGCCTTCGTGCCAGACCAAGGAAGCCTAAGGAACCTTAAATCCTGAACCTGAACCCACAGAAGTTATCCCTGAAGCGCTTACAGAAACCCTTACAGGATCCCTTGAAAGGAACCTTCTAGAACCTTTTAGGATTTAGGGTGTAGGGTTTAAGGCTTAGGGTTTAGGGTTGACGGCTTAGGGCTGAAACCCTTTGAAAGCACCCTTCTATTGTAGGAACGGGGAACGCTTGAAAGGAACCCGTAAGATTTTTAAAAGCACCCCTCAAAGGAACCCGTCTGTTAAAGCACCCCTTTGAAGGAGCTCTATCATTTACCTTAACCCTTTAACGGAGCCCTGATATTTGAGGAGCCCTTTGGAGGAACCCTCGTAATTCCTACAGATCCCTTTGAATGAAGGAATCCCTTTTATTATTGAAGGACCCCTTTTTAGGAACCCTCATACTTAAGGAACGCCTTGAAGGACCCCTGTGTAACCGTTTACAGGATTCCGTACCGCCTTTTAAAGAACCGGGGCAGTGGCTCAGTCCCCGATTCCTCATGCCTGGGGAGACTCAGGGAGCTAACAATTAGGCTTCCGTTACGGGCTCCATCAACACTTAGCAGGTCTTCAGGATTCGCGTAGGGTCTATGGTCGGGTTCATGGTCCAGTTCTAGGGCTCAGGTTCCAGGGCCTAGGGTCAGAGAGGGTCACGGTTTAGGGTCTAGGATTTAAGGGCTCCTTGACAGTTCCGGTAAGAGCTGGTGTGCGTTATCGTGTCTCTAGTGGGTTCTATATGGGAGTTTCCGAAAATAGGGGACCCTATAGTACCTTAGATCTTAGGATCCTTATTATGAGGACCTGCAAATATGGCACCCCTCATTGTCGGAAACTCCCATGTGGCTGCATACGGCTCAGCCAGAACACCTCCCCAAATAGGTAGCCCAACTAGGCTGTTCAGGTAAGAACCTGGACGAGGGTTTAGGTTTAGGGCCCCTTTAAGGGATCTATAGGGTTTAATTTAGGGTTTATAATGGGGGCCTCAATAATTAGAATACTAGGCTGTTCAAACTGGAAAAAATAATATATAACTTTTTAGGCTTCATATTTGTGATAGGAACCCAGAAACCTGAAAGTAAAAAAAGTGTACCACTGAAGAGCCTGGCCAAATACACTAACAACTCAACACCGCAAAACCTGCAAACGCTGCACCCTAGATACAAGCCCACCATGAAGAATCACTAATAACGTAATAGATAAGATTCCATAGCATATGGTGTTTCATGTGCCATGAGATAAAACAGAATACCAGGCAACACATAATATACTTGTAGACATGGTGTAAGTAAACATGTACCTAACCGATAACACTCTTATGTAAAACTAGATGCGACACACACCCCTAAATCAAAGAACCCTTAACACCACACTGACACCCAGGGCGCAGACCGAAACTGCTCCGCAGCTACAGCTGCATCCAGCTCATCAGCACCCTCATAGGAATTTGGGTTCTTGGTTGAAGTCAACGAAACCTAAGCCGTCATACTTGGTAGCTGAAGAGGCTTCTTAAAAGGATCTCTAAGGGGTCTTATCGGGTTGCTACGAGGGTGCTGCAAAGTTTTATGAAGGTATTCAGAGGTTCATGGGAATTGGGGTTTCGGGGATTGGGGGGTTCAGTTTTGAGGTCCTATAATTCATTTCCAAGGGTTATTGCACCCAGGGTTCTCAAAGGCTTCTCTGAGGCTACTGAAGATGTACTTGGAGGTTCATGGGAATTAACTGCTCGGGTTATACGTACCTTAACAAGGGTTATAAGCTATAAGTAGCAAGTATAAGGTCCCCTGGTTTTCTGAAATCCCCATATGGGTGGTTGTCAATATTAGGGTCCCTTCTTGGGGCCCTTACTATTATAAGGCACCTATTATTTAAGGGACCCTATTTTGACCACTACCCATACCCTAGGCATCTAAGGACTCATATGTTAAGGCTTCTGGGCCCAAAGACTATATTGTATAAGGCTTTTGGGCTATTTCGATCCCCAGGGTAGGACCCTCTTTACTAGGATCCTTATCATAAGGAACCCCAAATAAGGTACCCCTAATTTTCGGAAACCCTACACCCTTTCAGAGCGAAACCCCCAGGGATATGGCTTTTTGTAGGATTCTGGAGGCCCTAGACCCTAAACATCTGGACCCGGGATCTTCTAGCGTAAGCTATGGGGCTCAGGTTTAGGGGTTCAGGGTTTAGGGTTTAGGGGTTTAGGGGTTTAGGGTTGAGGGCACACCACAACAAAGGGGTAGTAGATACTTCCCACGACAAACTAGGCCCTGAGCCAATCCCGAAGAGATATAAGGGCCTGGGATCTAGGCCTTTGGGGCATAGTTGCACAGTATGATGTGCGGGCTGTTCAGACCTCTGCGTTACATGGCTTATGGCTTATGGTTCAGGACAAGTCTCAAAGTGGCAAGCACGATTTAGGGCTAACGATCCCCAACCGCGCCGACGGCCTGCCGCCCGTGCATCAGAGGAGGTGCATGGCTTCAGCGCTCTTAGCCGTTTCGGGCCTAATCGACCTCATTCGCGCCTGAACTTTTGAACCATACCATACTGTAACTATACCAGGACGCCTAAGGAATAAAGTCACGGTGTTGGTACTAATTCCGGCTTCTTTGTCAAGGTTAATGCTTCGGTGAGTCTAAACCCTAAGGGTTAAACCTACGACCTGAGGGGCCTAATATAGGGGGCCTTCAGTATTAGAATAGAGTTTTGCGGGCCCATTATACTATTCTAACTATAAGAAGGACCCCCAAAATAGCATAGGCATTTATTAATTACGGCCCCTATAGTAAGGCCTTGAAAGTTTGGGCGTGTCGAAGGCCTTACTGTAGCGGGCTGACGTACTGACTAGAATAGGATCCGGGGCATTAGGGTTTAGCACCATCTTCTTACTACAAATAAAGATAATAATCATCACCGTCATCATTATAACCATCATATTGATAATGATGATGATCATGATGATAATAATAACTAGACTAAAAGTACTAAGAAGAATGATGCTAATCCTTAGGCAATGATAATGAACAAAATTGAAACATCTTCTATCCGACCTCGATTCCCTAAACCCTAAACCCTAAACCCTAAACCCTAAACCCTAAACCCTAACGAAGTGAAGTGGCGAGAGTTCCACCAGACCCGGGTGTCCGGGGCTCTGAGTGGAAGAGGGCGGGTGTAGATGTGGGGCTTAGGTCTGAGTGGGAGACTGCATTCAAAGGTGAAGCATTCAGGGTGTAGGGTTGAGGGTTTAGGGTTGAATCAGTTGGGGTTTAAGTTTCTGTCGAAGACCTTTCACGAGTTTAGGGTGCAATGTGCAGGCCTATATGTTGGGCCAAGCTCTTGTCTCTCACTGCTTGCTGGCACTTCGAGCCAGCTTCCGGCGAACTAGCCTGCTCGGGAGTCCTGAACCCTAAACCCTAAACCCTAACCTCTCCGAGCTTTCGAGACCTCACCAAATGTCGCCAAAGCCATCATAAACTAAATCGTGAACCCTAAACCAAATGCCCGAAACTCAAAACCCTAAGCCCTAAACCCTCAACCCTAAATCGTAGACCCGACCGAAGCCCCAGTGCTGAAGGCTTAAAGTTCAGGGGTTTAGGGACGGTCTTTCAGTTTCAGCAGTGGTGCACGACGAGCAGGATGATGGTGGAGGTGGAGAAAAAAGGAAGCTTGTCATGACGCTGCTGCACATCAGAATAACGGTGACGATGACAATGATGAATATGGTGATGACGACGACGATGACGAGGATGATTATGATGTCACTGGTGATGGTGACGATGAACGTGGTGAAAGTGATGATGCATGGCACGATGAAGTTGGAGCGGGAGGAAGCACTGATTGGAAAGCCCATGGTCAGCAACAACGTGAGTGGCAGCCTGAACAGCAAAGCAAACAACAGTTGCGACCCGTCAACCTTCATCATGATTTTGATCAAGACCAGCACCTTTATCCTCCTCGTCGTCATCGTCATGCCAACAACTTTGAACATTCGGACTGAACAGTTGCCTGCAGTTCCTCGTTTTTGCCTTAGGGCCGTTCGTTGTAGCTCGGGCTCAATTGTTGGATTGTAAGGGTTTAGGGCTCAATGGATTTCTGGTGATGTGTTTCTGTTTCAGCACGCAGAGTCTAGGATTTAGGGTGTAGCACGCAGGATCAACGGGGTTTGGGGTTTGGGATGTAATTGGGGGTGGCGGGCTCCACAGATTCAGGGTTTCGTAGAATTGGGTTTTACGATTTCAATACAGCTTTAGGAGCTCCACAGGCCTAGGATTTGGGATGATGAGCTTCTGTTTTGTTTGGTGTGTTTGGGTTTGGGGTTTACGGGGCTGGGCAGGATGGCACACGCTCTTTTGCCGTCGCTTACTTCTCCTTGCTTCTCCTGACTGCCCTCACCGTCGTCAGAAGCTCCTTGGCAAGTGGGCCACGCTGAAACCCTTGGCCCCTGGCTTGCCACACACGGTTCAAGGTTTAGGGTATAAATGAATTGACCCGAAACCCTGAACCCTCATATTTTCAAAGACCACCTCGTTGCGTCCATTTCCAGTCAGAAAAAGGATAAGTCAGTATACATATATATATATATATATACGTATATATATATATATATATATATACGTATATTGACTTGTTTATTCATTCAGTCAGTTCTTTGTTTATTGACTTGTTTGTTTTTCTACTAGTGGCAGTAGTAGTAGTAGTAGTAGCAGCAGCAGGAGTAGTAGTAGTAGTAGTAGTAGTAGTAGGAGGAGGAGGAGGAGGAGGAGGGGCAGGAGCAGGAGCAGGAGCAGGAGCAGGAGCAGGAGAAGGAGCAGGCGCAGGAGGAGGAGCAGGAGGAGTAGCAGGAGAAGCAGTAGCAGGAGTAGAAGTAGACGGAGTAGGAGGAGTGGCAGGAGTAGCAGGAGTAGTAGTAGTCGTCGTGTAGTAGTAGTAGTAGTAGTAGTAGTAGTAGTAGTAGTAGTAGTAGCAGTAGTAGTAGTAGCAGCAAGAATAGAAGTAGTGGGGCAGGCCGTGGTCCCAAGCTGTTTATCAAGGAACCAGGTTTTACATGCATCTCGCCCATGCAAGTCTATCAAGCAAAGGCAAGGACACAAGTGATGCAAGGGCATGTTCAATCAGAATGGGGTTCCTTTGTATGGATCTATGTTAGGGTGCAGTCTGAATCTGAATCGCATGACTCGAACGTTATTTGCTGGAGAGCTGAACGCTGCAAAGTATCTCATAAAGCATCATAGTGCTTGCTTACAGTAGAAGCCAAAAAGTTGGAAACCCAATAGCCTCATTCCTTAAGAGTAATGTATAGGGAATCCCAGCACTATTTGGCCATAGTCCGGTTTCCAACTTTATGGGGTTGACTGTAGGATAATATTGCGGATAATCGTCTTCCGCGTTTTCATCACAACGTCAGACCGGTCACAAGGCTCAAAACATCACAGACTTAGAGGTACGTGGCATCAGAGGCGGTTCTATCATGAGTCATGTAGACAGAGCCAGTTTTTGAGGCATCTAAAACTGATAATAAAGCAAGATCAGTACATCAAGAACGAACGCCCGAAGTCATAGACAACATACTGGTATCCATAAACTCCGTCTCGCTGTCAAGACTGAAACTGCAGATGCTAAAGCTGCTGGCGGCTTCAAACGTGCAAAGCACAATGACACGGGTGAGAATGGTAATAATAGGAATAATGGCAAAGAATAGTAATGATAGTAATACAACAGTAATAACGGCAATAATAGTAATAGTAGTAACAATAGCAGCTTTAGCGCCCAGGGGCAATACGACAATGGCGCAAGCTTGGAAGCATTACTGCACACAGTGTTAATTATATACACACTGTGCAAACTGAGAGACCAATGCCAATTGCCGTGCACAGCCAAGTACCATCGAAAGGGATAACACTGCCAGTGTCACCAGCAGCCAAACGCACAATAATCAACTGGAAAACTATGTTGATTCATGCCGTTTATAAGACAGCAATCACGAGCGACCACCATCAGCAACAGCAGCACATTCACCATCATCATCAACATCGTCATCATCACCATCATCACCATCATGAATCATCACCATCATAGCAACCACGACCCTCGCAACATCCTCACATCCCTCAAAACCCTGCAAGCGGGAACCCTGAACCTAAAACACCTCGAAAATCGAATCATCTTTGCAAAGCAAAACATTAGTTAGAAAAATCCAAAACCCGACCTTTTTCGATCCCAGCGTTGCCGAGCCCGACACGTGACGGCAAACTGCCAAGGACAAGGAAATCGTCAGCACTGCCACGACCACCTAAGCAAGCCCCAAACCCGTATTCTGATGGGCAACGCCAGTAATACAGGGGCCTTAATAATTAGAATAGGGTTTTGGGGCCCATTATACTATAATTATACAAGGAACTCCCAAAATAGTATAGGTAATTATTTAGGTCCCTATAGTATGTACACATGCTGGGGGGCTTGGGTCTGGGCTAAACCTTAAACTACGATTGGTGATGTAATTCCTAGGGTTCCTTTACAGGGATCTATGAGGTACTTCTAAGTTGTTCCTTTAAGTGATCTGTAAGGAGTCTGGGGTTTAGGATGATATAAACCGACAAACCGAAATGCTTGTCGGACATAAGACCCCCTCTCGATATAAACCTTGCATTACTCATAATAAGGAAGATACCATAATTCCCACAGCCTAGGGTGCTTTAAGGTATAGTAATGCAGGATTTAGATCATCAACCGTAGTGTTCGTCTAGGGGCTTGGGGCTTCGGGCTTTTTTATTAGAGCTCAAAAACCCTTTCAAATTCTTTAAACAAATATGAAGAAAACCAACCCCAATCCCATAGAATAGTCATCAAAGCCTAAACAAAACAATCTTAGCCCTTAATCATCGAGCCCTTAAGCCTTACTAGAGCCCTTAACGGCCCTTCCTACGGTTGATGATTATATCCTGCATTGCCCATAATAAGGAGTATACCAGAATTCCCATAGTTTAGGGTCCTTAAGGTAATGCAGGATTTATATCATAACCCTAAACCCTAAAACCCTATAGATCCCTAAAAGGAACCCCTTTAAGGTACCCTTGTAGATCCGTTTAAACGAACCCTAGGATTTATATCATCAACCGTAGTCCTTTGTAACGTCCCGGGCAGCCGACGGCGAGGCAGATCTGCAGTGGCGAGCCCACGGGAGGCACGAGCCTTGGCTTCGCAAAGAGTCGCATAATAGGGGAGTTTCCGAAAACTAGGGGTACCTTCGGGTTCCTTTAAAGGGATACCATAAGGGTACCATACGGGTGCCTTTAAAGGGCTCTATAAGGGTTTAGGGCTTCCGAAACCTAGGGGTACCTTATTTTGGGGTCCTTATAAGAGGAATCCTACTATTCAGGGTGCTATATTCGGGTTCCATATTCTCGGAAACTCCCATATAGGGGCCTGGATAATTACACGAGTGGTTCCTTAAAACTGGATCTAT